ATAAATAATTCCCGACTTTACAGTGTAGGATTAAATAGAATTTCATTTTCTGTTTTCATTTTTTATTAATTTCTCATCCTACATAATAGAGCGCATTCAGTAAATATAACAGATCAGGAAAAAAAGAAAATAGAAAATGAAATTCTATTTGATGCTTGTATTGTTTAGTTCTAAAATCTTAATCATACGTTTAACATCTTTAAACTATTTCCTTCAGAGAGACTCATACCCTAGTCGAGACTCTCGACAAAAGTTTCACGAGATTCCTATCACGGGATCCTGCGAGAGTCAGGTGGGACTTCCAAGCGACTCCTGTGGGACTTTGAGAACTTTCGTTAGGCTTTCGCAGGACTCGAAAGTCCTCAAGGTCTCACAGGAGTCTCGAGCGAGTCCTTAGGAGTCTCTTGGAAGTCTCACTTGACTTCCGTAGGATCCCGACAGGACGCTCTACAATAGATTAGAGTTGTCTACAATTCTACCCCGTGACAAGAGCCCTGTGAGAGTTTTGTTGGAAGTTTCGACTAGGGTATCACTTTCCTGTAATTTACCCATTATTTCAAACTATACCTCAATCAATATAATTTACAATGTAATCATAAATATGAAAAAAGTATCATTCAATACTTCTCTCAAGATTAATTTCGCTGAACTATTTCACTCTTCAATATTTATTGCCGCGCAGCGACATCCTAGTCTAAGCTAAACATCTTAATGAAGATTTTGAAACCAAATATTATTTGTACATCTTCTCGACAAATCAAAACGAGGAAAAAATTGAAGACCAAAAATCAAGCAAAGTGAAAATACAATAAGTGCAAGTGATCAAGTGTTTAATAAAAACTCTGGCTTTTCGGCTTTTGATAGTAGAATACTCGAACTGACATATTATAGTATGACGCTTGACTTTTTTTTTATCGATAACATCGTGAATTTATGTTTATGTTACATTGAGTATGGAAAAAAGGGAGGGCTATTTGTATTAGAGCTTGTTTCTGAAACATTACTCTCCTCTTGGTTCTAGTCTCTCTTTTTAAAAGTTTTTCTAGTTTGTATGCTGTGTACATGACTGATGTTTAATCCAAGTTAGTTTTGTATAATATGTGGCTATAATCGGGAAACTAAAATCAGCCAAGGCAATGATAACCTCTGTCATCATTTACCACCTGTGAAAATATATCGACTTTTTGTTTTCTTCTAAAGCTTGTTGGACATAATGAAAGTTTATGCACGCATCTCACTCTAGCAAAGATATCCAATGCTAATCAGGTTTAAATGTCCATTGAGAAAATTCAACTCTACCTTAAAGTCGTAATTTTCGGAGAAAAATCGAGAAAATTTGACTTTTGGCAAATATTAGGTCTATTGCGCATTCCACTCGAACATTCTCTGTAAAATGCGTGGCGAACGGCTGGACATTACCAGGAAAATATCTGACAAAGCGATAGTTACTTACTTAGTTGTTATTTCCATTCAGTGGCGGATCTAGCACTACGATGGTTCGGCGACCGTCGCCCCCTCACAAATAGAATTCTAATGCAAGTAAACTACCAGACTTCTTTAGAAAAAATATTCATACTCGTTTAGAAATCGCTACTCCGTCGGCAGAATCCTGGATCCGCCACTGTTTCCATTTTTCTATGTTGTGTTTCTTCGGGCTGCCAGGTATAACGCTTTACAATTCCTGACCGTCTGTGATGCTTATTTCAGTTGACTAATAAATACAGATTAACTAAAATATCTGACATTACTGAAGACTGAGCAAAAATTCCTCTCCTACCAACAACCTCAATAAATTTCACATCAATCGTGACAGAAAACACATTCAATGAATTTTTTTTATACCAAAAATTTCCGTTTCAAACGTATAAAAATTATATAATTATGAAAAGACATTAAATTTCAATTCATTTGACTTCAAAAAATAATTTTAATGAATTCAAATGCGTTAAATGATTTGACGCCTTTGAATATATTAAGTCTTAAGGTGTGTGAATACATGTGATGCCATTAAACGGACAAGAAACTCTTTTTATCCATTTCAACGTGTGAAAAATTTAAGAAGTTTAAATGTGTTAATAAGACATTTGACGATGTTGAATTTGTAAAAATGCATTAAAAAAATTAAAAAAGTTAAGGCTCCTAAATGCATTAACCTTTAAGAGTTGAGGAGGCGTTAAAATTTTTTTCATTCACTAATGTGTTCATTAAAAGTGTTCCATGTAAATTTTTATGCATTCAAAGAAAAGTTTTTGTTCCAACAAAATTTATTGAGCAAGTCTCCAGTACAAAAAATTCCACAGAATTTTGTCAGACTAAGCAGAATTATGCAGAATATATTGTCAGAACTGTCATGATCACAAATGCACAGTTTTTTTTGAATGTTTAATTGAAAAATGTGCAAATAGATTATACTTTCGTAAGCCATTGTTGTTCCCTACATATTATAGTTCCACTTTTCGCATATACAACAAAATTATTTTTTATTGTTTTTAGTTCGCTATGAGCAAAACTATTAAGATAAACATTTCCTCATGAGTACAACATACAGGCTGTTACCATGGGTTCGTAGAGTACAAAAAAGTGGTAGAGGGAGGATAAACTTCGTGATTATGAGTTTTCAGAAACATTTCATCATATGAAAATCATTAGTATGCAACATCAGTACATGAAAGCTGTTAGCTTTGGTAAGACAGACAGAAGAAAAAGAGAAAATATTTCCGTCTTATATTTCGTATACTTCACACGTAAAGTAAAGATGGATTAAATTTTCCTTTATATTATTTCATACATATCATTCGACTTATCATAATTGACATTCTAGAATATTTCCGAAATTCTAAGAACTTTTTTGTGTTAAGAACTATGTTTTCTTTCACAATTGATATTGTGGTTGTTAGTAGGAAAAGAATTTTTGCTTAGATGAGAATAAGTTTTTACCAATGCACAGTTATGATTTTTATGCCGTTAATTTAGATAAAGAGTTTGATTTTTTCTTTTCCGTATGAAAAGAACTTATGGAGTTTTATCGATAAATATTTTTCACTCGATTAGGTTAGTTTCTATTGTTGATCAAGTAAATCGCTTTTTCGCAACATATTTGATCATTTATTTCATGTTACTAATCAGTAATTTTTCTTTTTTCACTTGAGAATATATACGTTTTTTTTTTTTTTTCTTTAGAAGTAAATAGTTCTTCTTCTCATTGAATATAATGACTCCTTCCATGATGATGGTTGTTATGTATTTTTTAAATAATGTAGCATAGATATTTTTTTATGGATTTATAATTTTTTTTTATTTTTTTATTTTTATTTTTTTAGCATAGATATTTTTGATGGATAGAACCTACAAGGAAAAAGAAATAAATGAATGAATGAAGACGTGAAGACGTCTATTGTTCTTGTCTTACTGTTGTTGTTGCTCGTGTCAATAGAACAATATAAACGAGAAAACGCTGTGAAAAAAAAACAAGAAAAATGACGATGTTATACTATTTTTTCCTATTATGCTTAATTGTCATTCTTCTTTTTGTTTTACATACCTTTTTGCTATTTACTAACACATCCCAGTGATTGATCCATTCATCATTTCATCTGTTTCCTTTTCACCATATAAAAAAGAAAGAATACGTGAAATTTCCCTTATTTCTTTATATTTTGTTTCTTATTTTTATGATTACGGTATTCTATTTAACGGATAAGATGAGCTAATTGAAATATTAAAGGTAACAATTTTGATTAAAAGTAATAGAAAAAATAAAAACATATTTTTTTTTCTTTTTTTCTACTTTAACTAAAGTTCACACGTGGTAATCAGCACATTTTCGTACATTATTTTGTACTTGTTTCTACAAATGACTTGATCTAACCTTTATTATATCAGAATACATGCAAAATAAATTTCATTATAGTGTTTGACAACTTAAGACCATCAAAACATATAATAAAAAAATTTTTTTTTTTATATATATATAAAGACTTGAGGATAGAAACTATTAGTTTTTGATTGATTTTGTCGTTTTTGATAGTTTAATTTTAAGATACTATAATAAAAAATACTAATTTATTTTACATACATTCTGGAAGAATAGAACCATTTGTTTTTTTTATACGTTGTTCTAAGAGTGTTGACAGAAAAGAAGATTATTTAACCACATACTAGATTATTTACTATAATACACATTGTTGATAGGTATTTTACAACTTGATTTTTTTCACCATTCTTTGATTATTCAACGTGGTTAGAAAGAATTTATGAATTGTTCTAGCATCTTTCTTTCTAAGGTACTACATAAAGTACATCAGTATGTATACAAACATAAATACCTACAAAAACACGACTAAGAGATAGTGAATTAGGTTCTGTTTTCTCAAGGTCAATATAATTTTTTTTTTTTTTTTGCATATCCGACAGCGACAGCAGTGACAGAAAGGTCTTTCTTTATAAAAACTGTATCTGTACATGAATAATAGATTTTTTCGTTTATGTTTTTGTCTCCAATGCTTGTTTTCTTTGACTATGATAGTCTTTAATTCAATATTTTTGAGTGTTCATGATAGGAAGAACTTTCACTTACTCAACTCTAGCGAATCTACTTGGAACAAATACTTCTATAAAAGTATTTACGGTTTTTTGTCAAGTGAGAAGGTAAGTAAATTCCTTTTTTTTAAATTAGGCAAGTAACAACTTCATTTTTAGCAAAAGAATCAAGTATTGTACTCTCAAAGAAGATTTATGGCAAGCAAGTAGTTTTTTAAAAATGTTTGGTAATTTTTCCAGGTGCATACTAATTAATAAAGTCTTTGAATCACATTCACATCACCAGGAAACATTGTTATTTTTCTACTTGGATTAATATCAAAAATCCATTTCTAAGATTTTAAGGAACTGTAACAAATTTTTTTGTTTGCTTTTATTTTAGATAAAAAAAACTTTTTATAATTATTATTTTTTTTTTTTATGTCTCAAAAAAGCTTTTGTTATCTGTTTTTATTGTCGTCATGAATAGTAATGGGCGAACTTTCTCGCAATCTAATGATGATCTGTCTACGAGCTGGGCAATCTCACTTCAATTTCGACCATGTCGAGACGATGACAGTGATCAACACAATAGTCCTACTTCTCTTGATCACAATGATCGAATAGACAGTAATGGACAAGGTATGTTGTTGTTGTTTTTTTTTATAGTTTTTAATAGACTAACTATATAAAGTTGTTTGTTAACTCTATTTTAGATGAAATGATACAAAAATGGTCTACATCATATATACCCTATATGACTTATTTTGAAGAACGTGAACGACCATGGTCATTCATACCCAATTCAGATATACTTGTTTTAAATGTGACAATTAGTCGAGAATACCATTTTCGTTTAAATCCATTTTTGTAAGCATACATATAATTTTTTGATTTATCAAAGATATTCGTTTTATCATTTTCTGTTGGATTGAGTTAATATCAAAAGTTTGACCGTGGTACACTTTATCGGACTACCAGTGAATCGCTTTTCGTATTATGATCGGTATCAGTGCTTCATTTATGTGCACAAAAACAAAAAAAAAACAACAACTTAAGTTTGTCACTTTCTTAAGATTTTTTTTGAGAAATTGACTTAAGTTCTATATATATATATATAGAGATAAACTTTCGTAAAATTTTTATTTCTTCAACTTGAAAGGAATAGAATATCACAGTATTATAGAAGAGAAAACAACGATGAAAGTTGGATAAATATTCTCAATCACAGGTATCTCATAGTGTCGGGCAATAAAAAAACAATCAATTACTGTACAAAATAAATAAATACAGACATATACTAATAATAGCTTTTAAATTGTAAGCTGTTTCCAGTTTGCACATTAAAATGCATGTTTCGCTTTATTTTTTTTTAACTTTCTAAATGCTATGACCAAACAGTTCGCTTAAGGTTGACTTATACACTTAATATTTGTCTTTGCTAAAAATTTATTGTTGTTTTCCTTGTTTAGGTATACAATAAAATTGAAGCATGGTAGTTTTGAATGGATTATATCAAAACGTTACAAAGATCTTGTGATATTTTTTGAACGAATGAATTTATTTCAGAAAACAGCTTCACTACCACTACCAACAACATCGTATATATTCTCTTTTTTTTTTTCCTAGTAGTAATTAGTGTGAGAATAAACAACTATTTCCTTTTAGACATCGAGAAATTCGTCGTCAAATGAGCCATTCACAAGCGGTTGGTGGTCTTACATTAAAACCGGATGTTTTAGTTGATGATGGAAATATTGTTGAACGTGAAGTAAAAAAGAAAGAAAAATATTCTTAATTAGGACAAAGTATATCTTCATTATTCTCTTTTAGAAATTAGTTGCCGAAAAATTAACCTCAATATTAAATCATCCCGTTTTATCTACTCATATCGAATGTGTAATTTAATAAAATTGGTTTATATATATATATATGTCCAGTAACATTCATTTCTTTTTTCACTTCAGCTTAAGTTTATTGAATCATCACCATTGTCATTCATACGAGAACTAGGTCGAAAATATAAAGAAGGTTTAGTGAAAAAAAATTCAGGAGGATATCGACAAGGTTGTTTTAAAAATGTGATTGCTCGAATGAGATGGTTTAAAAGGTGTGTCAAAGATAATGATATATTAATAATAGAAATAATTCATTGTTTTTAATTTTCATAGATGGTTTATTATAAAGGATACTTGGATTGGCTATTTAAATCCAAAAACGGGAATTGTATGTGCTGTAATGTTAGGTATGACATTTATATTACACTACTGAAATTTTATTTTAATTTACTTTTCATTTATTTAAGTTGATCATCATTTTCATGTACGGACAGGAAGAGAGAATACTGGTTCATCAACAAAACTTTATATATGCAATTTGGCACGGTATGTATCTGAGTTAATTTAAGCATTACTCATATAGACGTCTGACAAAGAGACTTGATCGATACACCATAAAAAGATTATAAATTGATAGAAATTTGGTATTGTAAGAGTATACTTATTTAATAATTTTCTTTATCTTCCTTTTTATAGACGATTATATGTTGAATGTGGTGCAGCAAGGAAAGCAACAGAGTTTTGTGATGACATTGGTCGAATGCTAAAAACAACTGGTAATGATTTTCATTTAAAGCATCGATACGATTCATTTGCTCCCGAACGACCAAATTCAAAAGCACAATGGTTTGTATTTTAAAAACTGATAAAATATCCTCTTAACTATATTGACTTGTTTGTATTGATAGGTTGGTGGAAGGTGAGTTATATCATCATATTATAAGTTGAAGATAAGACGCATAAATGAATGAATGAAAGAATACTGATAGTCTAGTTTGATTTTTAAGGGGCAGATTATATGGAAGCGGTTGCCTATGCTATCAAAGCGGCAAAAGAAGAAATTTATATAACAGATTGGTTTTTATCACCTGAAATATATTTGAAGAGACCAGCACTATCGGATGAGTGGCGTTTTGATAAAATGTTACATCAGAAAGCCGTAAATAGTCAACAATTTAAAATGATTTTTACATTTTTTTATTATTATTATTATTGTTCTTTTAGCATGAAGGTGTTCGAATATTTGTTTTATTATACAAAGAAGTTGAATTAGCATTAGGCATAAATAGTTCGTATAGCAAACGGAAACTAATCGAAGCCCATCCAGATAATGTGAAAGTAAGTCGTCTTTGTACCATTTACGACTTTCTTCATATGATATATATGTTTTTGTAGGTGTTGAGGTATCCAGATCATACTGGTCAAAATGCTGTTTTATTTTGGGGTCATCATGAAAAATTAGTTATCGTTGATCAAAGTATAGCACTATTCGGTGGACTCGATCTTTGCTATGGACGATGGGACAATTATTTTCATTTGTAAGTAACTGTAGAACACTTGTTCATTATAAGATTATGGCCTCTTTATTTTATAGATTAACAGATTATGGGTCTGCGTTGCCTGTGAAACACAATACCAGTGAAAATGTTCCGAGCACAAACAGTGTACCAGATATAAAGGTAAAAAGAAAATAAAGTATTACTTGTACAAAATATTACTACAAATAGTACTATTTAGATTCATCTTGCTCAATTGCCAGTATCATTAGAAGCTCTTGATCTTGAATGTGGAACAACGTCGTTGCATCGATCATCACCTCCTTTGGCTACAATAGATGATGATCATATTCCTCATATTGATGATGATGATGGTGATGAAAGACCAACACCACCAACATTGAAAAAAGAATTCATACCGAACGGAGTACATTATCGTAGTAAATCTTGTATGGAAGATCGATCAAAGAATCGAGAATTGACACCCATTGTTCACATGCCAAGGCGTTCTATAACGAAAATATTAAGTGATCAAACATTCGAGAATTCTCAAACTACAAATGAATTATCTTCTAACCGACGTTTTTCATCCAGTGATATCACCATAGATGAACATGATAAAATGAATGGTCGAATAGAACTTTATAAAGAACAGAAACAAAAACGTCGTAATTATATTTACAATCATAATTTATTTTCAAATATTTATAAGAGAACACATCGTCTATCATCCGCTGAACACCGTCAAAACTATCATCAACGTTTAGCTGAGTCGATTATCGATGATAATGATCCATCTAATCCTTTTGATACACAAACATCGGATTCTGCATATGTGCGCGCACTTGAACAACATCATACAACAGATGTAAGCTCATTAGCACTAGGATCAATGCAAACCATTACTAGTCTAGTCGATCATGATCAACAAAATCCATTGCGTAATGTAACATTATCTGTACCAACAGAAACATTCGGATTACCTTATCAAAAACATAATTCAGACAACGCAATATCATCTAATACGTTAACTGTTGCACAAAATCTTAATGTAGATAATATATCTAGTCATAATCAAAACCGTCGACCACCACGCGAAAAAAAATTGTCATTTCTTTTGCCAAGACGACGTTCTCACTTTGTACAAACAGCAACACTTGCTGATGAACAAAAACGAAAACGAGATGTTATTTGGCCATTAAAACGATCATATTCGTTTGACAATACATTTCAACGTAATAGAATAGACGAATTAAATAAAGGTATATATCTGTCTCGAGATAATCAATGGAATATAATTTTGACTAAAGAAATATCTCTAGCTATTCTTTAAAAATTCAGAAAATGAATGAAATTATTCTGACGATGGAATGCTGTCATGCTGTTCTGATGCTATTGCTTTTCCTTATATCTATTGCTTTTCGTATTTCAGAATCGGATTGCCTGTCTAATATCGATGGTTGTAAGTAATAATATGTCGCGTCACCCTCTGCATTTTTTCTGTGGTTACAATGTCTCCTTTTTGCATGTGCACATCTGTAAATGGCTTTCCTGTATGTTTAACATATTTTTCGTACGTACGTACTTTTTCGTACGGAAAAAATATTATTCAGTTGAGTGTTCTTCACAGGTGCTACTATTTTATTGCTTATTGACTTTCCACGTTTTCAACAACAGACAGTCTTATTTACAATTCTTGTGTTAAAAATCTCCTTCGTTCACACTAAAACTACTTGTTCTTATCGAAATTTCAAGTGTGAAGTGTCTCTCTAGTGAATGTACTTGGAATAAGTACTTGATTACTTTATGAGTACTTGAAAAGTACTGATAAGTTAAGCACTTAGCAACTATTTGAGCAAGAACTTGCCAAGTGTTGTTTACCTGACGTGCTTTAGCCATGTACTTAGACAAGTCAGTTACCCTTTTCTTTTGGATTGACTAGTGGTATACAAACACCACAATATCAATCGTTATACACTTAAAAAACAAATTTATGTTTCTACTGCGTTGAACAAACTTAGTAGTCGTGCATATATTTACTCTTCAGAAGGAGAGTATAGCTCCAGAATATGTATAAAATAAAAAATAAAATAAATGAAATAAGTATTTGATTGAACTTTTTCAAGTAAATTTACTTGCATCGTATCAGCCAAGTACTTACATTTTACTTGTCAAGTACTTTCTCAAGTACTTGATAAGTAAATTTACTTGGAAAAGTCTACAAGTACTGTCCTCATTACTTAATCCAAGTATTTGATTCAAGTACATTCACTAGGGCTACCTTTAAAATTTGCACCTCTTTCTATTTTGATTAATATGTGACGATTTTTCAGGAAACTTCAAAAACTATACTTTCATCACTGAAATGCAATTTAGTTTTCTTTACATACCACTTGAATCCTTCTTTCATATAGCCAGATTTGAAGAGTGGACATTCTTCTCAAAATAAGATGCAGCTAAAATCTATGCCACGCCATGGACGACAGTTATTAGTGATAAATCTAGGTATGCAGCAGTTTTTAACTGGTGTCGGGACATCCGGAAGAATTGCTATACATCAGCTATCACAATTCGCTCAGGGCTGTGAAACATCTCATTTTGTAGAAAAATGCTTGCTCTATAAAATGCATTTGTTAAAAAGATTCCAAAATCACTTCTAAAAAAACTAAAAGCATTCTAAAACGCACCAAACCACGAAAAAACAACTGTTCGAACAGTTTTTTTTCAGTAATTTAATGTATTTTTGAATGCTCTAAGTTTTTTTAGAAATGATTTTGGAATCTTTTTAACAAATGCATTTTATAGAGCAAGCATTTTTCTACAAAATGAGATGTTTCACAGCCCTGAGCGAATTGTGATAGCTGATGTATAGCAATTCTTCCGGATGCCTCGACACCAGTTAAAAACTGCTGCATACCTAGATAAATCTATTTATTATTTAACGTCAGCAGCTGACTTCTTCATTATTTCGACTTGGACCGTATACCATAAAACGATTTTTAAAAACCGCTAATTTTATTTTCTACATTCATTTAAGAGAAACCAGCTCTTGCCATCTAGTATTTCGAATTTTGTTCGAATGGATGAAAAAAAAGATAACATTCTTGTCACTTTAGCTTGTTAATGAATCGATTTATTTATATAACGCAAATGAGTCCTTGAATTGGAGTCTTTGGGTATAACTGCACAGATAAATCGATCTAGGATACACTGTTCTTAGTTTGAGTGGCATTCGAAATTAATCTATCCTCGGTGAAAGATTAGTGAAATTAATCTATCCTCGTCTTCTAGTTATCAAAAAAGCAAAACCTTCGAATATTCTGGCCTCCTAGATCTTGTCGTTTCTTTTGCGCAAGAACTTTCACTAGGTAGTGATATTTTTGTGGTACACTATTATTCCTAGAGATAGAGACACTCTCGAAATAAATCCTTTTCCACGTCTATATAGCCTCTACTCAACTTAACAAATTTTTATAATACCTAACTTTTTTTTGACGATATTGAGTGTTCACATGTTAAGTGCGGTGCAATCTAGAGTCAGATTTACTCAGACGTAGCATCTGATAGTTGGCAAATATTTTCTTAGATAATATTTTTAATCGATCTATAGGAAGTAGGGTAGCACTTTATCTTTATCGTTACTGTAACGCTAATGAAAATCCGTTATCTGTTACCAGTAACGGTAGCGGAAATTCGTTACTCGTGTTACTTTCTCGAAAAGTAACGGAAAAATTATTCTTTTTTGTCGAAATAACCCTTTAATTCATTCGTTAGCCCTGTGAAACTCATTGAAACATTGATGTAAAGGATAGATTTTTGTTAGTTCGGTGATACAACCATATTCTAACATACAGAACAGGAGTGACACGTTCCCGTTACTTTACTTTGAAAAGTAACGGAAACGTGCAATCCCTAATTGGGAATAAGACTAGCTGAAGTTATTACGTCTCAAAGTCGGATTGTTTGAGGAAGAGTGTGACTTACACCCTACATTTGTGGATTGTTTCGTGTTCATTCTATTTAATAACTTTGTCACTTTTGTTTTATAAAAAAAAGATTAGCAGATGAGTTTAGATTCGTTTTCTTTTAAGACAAAGAATCAAAATGGCAACGTTTAAAAATGGGTTTGAAAGATACGCTACAAACAAAAATATTACGTTTTACAAAGTCAAATGAAGACATATCGACACTTGGTCTTGGAATTCAACCACCTTCAACGCCGGTTACACCATTAACAGCCGGTATTGATCGTGAACGTTTTCGTGATAAAATCCGTCGTGTTACATTAAATTTTAAAACGAGTTGGAAACAATCACGTAGTGATTCAGATCTTGATGAATACGAAACACAAGATTTGAACGATATGAATAAATTTTTCCGTTCGTCAGATGATTTGGGTTTACAAGGTTCATCAAAACTATGGTTTGGTAAAGATTACGCTAATTTTTTACTACGTGATTTTCGAAATTTGGATCAACCATTTATTGACATAATTGATCGTAATACCACACCAAGAATGCCATGGCATGATATTGGGGGTTTTATCTATGGCGCGGGAGCAAGAGATTTGAGTCGACATTTTCAAGAACGATGGAATTTTGTTAAACGAAATAAAGTGAAAGATGATCATAGATATCCATTTTTATTACCAAAAGCATATGGAAACTATACACCATGTCCAAAACTAATAACAAACGCAATCAATTGTTCGGTTCAGGTATGGCATAACTATTAAAAATATATCCTTGTATAATTTATTATTTTTTCGTTTAGGCTTTGAGAAGTGTTGGTAAATGGTAAGTCGGATCTTTTGAATTTTAATTGTTTTATACAGTTTAATTTCATTCCTATTAGGTCAACTGGTATTCATGAAAACGAAATATCAATACAAAATGCATTCATTGATATGATTGCAAATGCAAAATATTATGTTTATATTGAAGTAAGAATGTCTTAATTATATCTTATTTAAAATCTATATGTTTTTATTAAATTTTTCAGAGTCAATTTTTTATTTCACTTGTTGGCGATTCAAATGTACGAAATGGAATTGCAGATGCGTTATTTAAACGAATTGTCAAAGCTCATCAGTAGGTAGACAAATAATATCGATGGATAGAGATACTCATATATTTATTTTATTTAAGAGACAAAGAGACATTTCGTGTTTATGTTGTTATGCCATTGATGCCAGGATTTGAAGGACAATATGGTTCAAGTAAAGCTACAGCACTTCAAGCAATTACTCATTGGAATTATCGTTCAATATCTCAAGGGCAACAATCATTGTTAGCTCGACTTGCTAAAGAAGGTAATACGTTTGTTTTATGTTTTTAGTTATCTTTTCTTTATAGTCTTCTTCTTTTTCTCATTTAAAAGTGGGTGATGCACACAAATATATTTGTTTTTTTGGATTACGGTAAGAAATGAATATTGAAATAAGTTTTTTTTTTTTTAATTTAATTTTTTTCCCTTTTCTTTTTAACAGTACATGGTCTGAAATGAGCGGTCAACTCGTATCTGAAATTGTTTATGTACATAGTAAATTAATTATTGTTGATGATTCACGAGTATTAATTGGTTCAGCTAATGTTAATGATCGAAGTTTACTTGGAGATCGTGATAGTGAAATATCGGTTATATTTGATGATACAGAATTTGTACGAGGAACAATGAATGGACAAAATGTACAAGTGGGAAAATTTGGTTCAAGTTTAAGAAAACGTTTATTTCGGTACAAATAATCTAGTCTTATATTTTTAAAACTTAATATTTGATCTATTTATAGGGAACATCTTGGTGATTTTGATGGTACACAAATTAACTTCAATGATCCTGTATGTGACGCATTTTACAAAGATATTTGGTTGGCAACTGCGGGAAGAAATACGACCATGTTTGAAAAAGTAAGCCTATTTACAGATATCACATTATAGAAGATTTATACTTAACTTTGAACATTTTTTTTTTGCTTTATTTAAGGTTTTTAATTGTATACCAACAGATTCTGCATTTACATTTGTTCAATTACGTGAAATACAGGCTGCTGATAAATTATCGCAGACAAATCCGAGTGAAGCTAGACGTCTATTGACTTCAATTCGAGGATATTTAGTGTTAATACCTCATAAATTTTTATGTAAAGAATATCTAGCACCAAGAATGCCAGCAAAAGAAATTTTGGCGCCTGTTTATTTTTGGACCTGAAAACATGTTTCGAATGAATCCTAAAACAAAAAAATAGAAGCTTTATATTGTTAGTAGCATTTTTCTGTAGCATTTGTTTTCACATCGTTTTATCTGTTTTTAATAGTTTTCTTAACTTTTTTTCTTCCAACGTAACGTGTTAAAACAAAACAGAAAAATGCATTTTTCTTTTTTTAATGATCATACTGCAATAAGATACTATTCTTCTCATTTTTTTTTCTATTACGCAATATTAATTTTATTCAAGTTTAGTGTGTTTCTCTGTAAAAAATTTTTTGCAAAAATATCTCATTTTCTTTTCTACTATCTATCTAGTAGTGTAATAGTATTTCTCTCATTCACGTGTAGGTGTTCTTATAATAGTTCGAGATCATTGTTTATCTATGTCCTTTCTTCCTTTCATAATTTATTTGAATGTATGATAGAGCAAGCGAAGACATTCCGTCCATGTTCTATTTTGATAAACAAACTATGTAACTGTTATGGATAAGGTTTTATTTTTTTTCTCTTCTAATAGTTGATTTTACTTTCGCATGTCATGTGTTGTTGATGTTTTTTTTTTTCTCAAAAAAAATACCCTTTGTTTTTTTTTCTATTGTGATATCATTCTCCATATTCTTTAACTCATAAAATGCAATGTACTTTGCTCTATTCGATCGATACGCACATTTTTATTAGTTTCTATAATTTAACTGCTGGTCAGCCAAAAATAAATTGAGTTTTTGTTTTTGTGTTTTCTCGTTTGTTTTTTGAACAGTGAAATTTATTCTTTTATAAGTTTGCTCAAGCTACAGCAGTATTGAACAGAAAAGGCTTCTTCTGTATGTGTATATGTGGCTTTTCTGGACGCTAGACTTTCATGTTTTAGTTGAATTTTTTTGTGTATAACATATTTTTATCATCATGGACGGAAGATTAATATTTCTTGCTACATATACATATTGATACCTGACCGTTGTAATTATTTTCAATTCTTTTTTTCCTGATGTAGAAACATTCCTTTCATTTGTCCAGTTGCAAGCAAAAAAAACAACAATAAAATGTTATAAATTCTACTGTATACTCTAAACTCGATCTAATCTAATTTTGACACGTTCTTTTCAATATTAGACCTTTTTTTTTCTCATCCCTGGTTTATACCACGCATATTTTTAATATTTTAGTTTATTGTTATTTACATTGCAGTTTTCCTATTGCGTTTTTTGTTTTCTAGGACTTATAAAGATTCCTTTCTTCTTCTTTTTTATATGCGTAATCAAACAGAACACGATATAATATGAATTCGTGAATATAATAAAAATGCAAATCAAAATTTAGTCTAATAATAATGGATGATAATAATGGCTAATCTTTATTGGTCTCATAAAATTATAAAACAATGATTAATTTCTTCTATTTACATAGTAATCCTCGACTGTAACTTTTGAACAATGTCAAATTTAGGTGATAACTTCCAATTTAAATGCATTTATGGATTCGAAGGGTACAAGTTGATGTATTTTTTATCTATTTGTAACATTATTAAAGTGATAATGACTCAAAAGAGAAACGTTTAATTTACATTGTGTAATTCAAATGGAAAACGTTTAACAAATCAATCGAAAGATTACAAAAATGTTACATATAATTATACGAAATCCCTAAAAATGGAAATAGTAGTTGTTCATTCATTCTGAAATTTGTAAGAAAAATCTCCGACGTTTATCTCGACGCTACTGTACAAATATTAAGCATTTATTGTCTTGAGATGGTCGAGTTCTACATTGATCAAGTATGCCTCTGTTGATTTCGATGTGAAGAAACTGTAGTATGTTCCAAATCTAGTATGACAGTGAAGTTCGATTTGAGAAATTAATCTATGTATCATAGTGAATAACAGCACATTGTAGATTGAATAACTGTTGAGTGACATCACTGGTATTCTTAGCAATCGAACTGGAGGAGTCATGAGTACATATTACTTGTTACAAAAGTATTATTAATGGAAACAAATATAATAGTTTTATTTCGAACAAAAATGCTGTGCAATTTGAGCAGTATATAATAAAAGCAATGGGTGATGATAACAAGGAATAATCGATACTTGACAATTTATAATATTCATACTACAAAGATCTTACAGATAAATATTCGATGTATTATTTCAAAGATGGTATGAAACTATTAGTTCAGACTACTCAGTAGTGATCTCAAATATTTTACGAATGTTCCGTTATACGAGAATAAATCGATAAAATAAATTTTACAAAATTCAAAAGTTGAATCAAAAATAAAAACAAATCGTTTAATAACTGCATTCTCAGCACATGAATTAATATCTGTCCGTAATTAGTAAAACTAATAGTTTAACGACAGCTCCGTTCGTTCCAATGATTATCATTAATTTATAATATTCAAAAACATATTTTCACAATCAACAGTTGATTATTGAACACTGTTTAAACGATGAAGTTAATCAATAAAAAGTTTCATATGTACGAGTTGAATAGAAAATGAGTAATCGGTTAACAATGTCAATAATTTGACTTACAGAGAAACATCAGACAACAAATAAAAAATGTTGATGTGGAAACAATCTATCCTCACGCATATTTTATAATGGAATTTGAAAATAGTTCGAAGAAAATAGATGATAGTAGTATTGGAATTATGTTTTATTGACTTTGATGTATCGTCTCCGTCTCACAAGAACAGTTATGGTATTAGAAGCAGACATCTAAAGTCTGGTGACTGAGAAGATGATGTTCAGCCAAATTTATTTTTGCATATAGTATCAAGTAACCTTTAAGTACTTAGGTATTTTTTTGATATGTGTAAATTGAATAAAATTTGTTCGTTAAAAACTTTTATAGACTGTTCTACATGCATAAGTCAATTGAATCTTTTACCCTCGGATATTGACAGACGTGGACATTAGTGAACATCGTAGAATTACTATAATAGGATGACGATGTGTTGCTTCAAAAAGCGGATCCTTTTCTAGTGTAAGCTGGTACCATAAGCTAGCAATTACTGTTAAGAAAATTTTTTTTTATCAAGGCTAGACAAAGATATACGAATTTCAAGTTCGTTTTGCATAATTAGCTGTCAGGAGTAAAGGGTTAATTAGTCTAACAATAAGTCTTTAAGCCAAAACAAAAATCATTTAATTATGAGATATAAATATAAATGATATCACTGAATAAGCACTTTATTGGATTGAGAAAAATCAAAAGTATGATTCGGTTAACATACTTACAATGAATATTTCAAATACTTCAAACATTTGGTTCTATGTTCCGATTACTAAACGAAAATACATTTTTATAAAATAACATTGTTTTATGACTGGAGAATATTTCAATATCTTAATATAAGCATCTAGCACATAAACTTACATTTACATCTACATTTCATCTCATGTCAATTTGGTTTCATAAATTTGATGTCATTTTTAAAAATTTGTCAAATTGAGATTAGATAAAATGTACATGTCAATGTCAGTTAAGAAGATATCCCTCTTCGTAGATATTTGATCACTGCTCTGTTATCTATTCTTTGACACATCTTTTTCTTTGTCTGATGTAGTATCGTTCTTTCTTTTTTTTATACCTTTCGTTTTTACTGTGAACATAGAACAGTGGTATATCTAACACATTTGGTCAAGAAACAGAGAACACGTGCGAGACGAGATATCTCCTTATTTACTAGATATCTATACTATTTTTTGTCATAAAATCAACCAGAAATGAAAACATGATCTTTCATGTTAATATATTGTTATTTCCAATGTAGTAGAATAAGAATAAGCGTATACTACTTAAAAATCTATTTTATTTTAGATCTTATATGATGCATTTATTTTTTACTCTTGTCTTTATATCAATCGTTGGACATACAGCAACGAATAATGTTGACAACAGTATCTGTATTAGATCATCCTCAAATTGGTGTCAGTCATATCAAACAGCAAAAGCCTGCGGAGTACATATAATATATATAGGCATGCATTAAATCGATGATATGTCTATCTCTTACTTTTAGGTACTTGATCAATGTAAAAATTATGTTTGGAATTATGATAATGATCGCATTAACTTTTCATTGTATTATGAAACTCTATGTCCAGATTGTCGACAGTTTATACAGACACGTAAGATAAAAATACAAAATTTTGACGATAGCATCCGATATGATAAATTATGTTTTATAGAAGTCTGGAATTCATATCAAGCTGTGTTGAGTATTGTGAATATTACATTTATTCCATATGGCGTAAGTGAATCATCATATTTAACTTACACATGCAATAAAATCAAAATTTAGAATGCCAAAGAACTTTTTCGTCCGGAAACTGGCCTATGGCAATTTTATTGTCAACATGGTTCATCTGAATGTCTTGGTAATGTAATTCATGTACGTACATTATAGTGAATTATTATCCATGGTCTAATTTTTGTTTTATCATTTTTACAAAGGCTTGTACAATTTATTTTTATCCAGATATTCAACAGCATCTGGTAAAATTAAAAATCTTTTAATGAATATATTTTTATAAATTTCATATTGATATTCTATTCATAGCCATTTATTTATTGTACCGAATCGACAGAAGGTGATGTTCAAGAAGTAGCGGAAGAAGTATGATTAATAAATAAAAGTGATATTTTAATTTAAATATGCTTTGTATTTTAGTGTGCAAAAAAATCCAGTGTAGATATAGACAAAATTAATGCTTGTACACACTCTAAACTTGGAAATGGTTTAGAACATACGTACGCACTAATGACAGAAGCATTAACACCACAGCACACCTTTGTACCATGGGTCACAATAAATGGGGTTGGTATTTGTTTTCTTTAACTTTATTCGATTCACATTGTTTTATTCTTTTTTTGCATAGGAACATACTGCAGAAATTCAACAGGCTGCAGAAACAGATCTTATTGGACTAATATGTAAGACGTATAAGGTAAGTTATTGCTGTTTGTAATTTCAAGTAGATTCGACTTAGAAATGTTTTTCTTGTTAAGGGTTCAAATATTCCTGATGAATGCAAAAAACGATGAAATACATTCAAACAATAGTTATTTTTTAAATTTTAACTACTTTTACATTCTCATTTTGTATTTGTTTTTTTTGTTTTTATTTATTAAACTCGAAATCAAGGAAAACTGAATGTTGATCAGTTTACATAAAATTATGCTTTTTGACACTATTTCAGTTTTTTCTAATATAATGTCATCCGAAAAAAGTATCAAGTATCATTGTTTGAGTATTATTCAATTCTCAAACAAGTATTAAACCACATAATAGACGTATTCATTTGGATGTAACTATTAACTAGCGACTACCACATCATCCCTTAACGGCACGTCTAAGTTGTAGAGAAGAACAAAACTCTGAACATCTTGCTGCTCAGATGTAGATACACACCAAGGTGGATAGCTTTGGTCTCGAACGTTACCGAGCGTTGAACAACATCGAAAGTTCTGACTCTCTAATATACGAGGATAAAAATCGACATATTTGATCAAAGAAAGGTCTAATCTGAATTCTTCCTCCGATTGTTGTAGCTGTTTGTATGCGTATTGTAGAAGAATTTCTTCGGTTTTAATAATCTTCTTATCTGTTAAAAAAATAATGGAATAATTATTCTGTTAAAAGGTTAAAAAGGTTTTAGTTCTCAGAGCGCTCATACTATGAGTTGTCTTCGAAAATGAGCTTCAAACTAACGCTCAAAGGAAAGTAATCAAAATTTTCGAACAAATTTAGGTTTTTGGTAGCGCAACATCTATTATACACCAGATTTCAGAACACTTCGCGTCATCAACGACAGCTAGTAGCATTTTTAATAAAAGCAAACTTAACGGGTAACCCAGAATAAAACGGCCACTTTTGTTCTTGGTTTTTGAGGCACTTTCCAGTGGTCCAAGGAGTTGATTCTAGGCCCATTCGATAGAGAACTGAATTCTCTACATTTAAAACTCTGATAGCATTTTTCTTGTTTGAGCACCCTTCAAATATGCTGAGTTGTCGAACTGGGACACATTGAAAATAGAAAAATACTTGCCTGGATCCAAAAATAGATTCCAAAAGAATTTTTCTGTGCAAAACACTGATAAATCTAAAAAGAACCTAACTTTTAAACCTATTTTTCATAAAGTTTAGTTTTTTAACTATAAAATTAGGAAAACTTTCTGAATCCCAGGCTTTAGTCTTATTATTTTACGCAGAATTAAATTCTGCATCTTTTGGTATTTAAACAAGGTTTCTCAGTTGAAACCGTTAATTAAAAAAGTAATTTAATTTCAAAAAATTCAAAAGCCGGTTGAGAACTAATTGTGATTCCAGCTAACTGCAGAAAAACTAAAGCAGAAAGACTGTATGAAGTTGTAAATGAATAAGATCGATAAAGCCTAAATTCTCTATCTTTGTACGTAGAAAAATTTCTGACGTGTTCTTCTATGGATTTTCTGGAAAACTCTGGTTTTCATCCAGTCACATTACGACCTCTCGAAAAAATGGTCCGATCGAGCTCAAAATTTTACCACAGATACTTCAGACCCTATTTCAGATTCAGTTTTTTTCTTTTCGAAAAATATTCTTTCCTTCTCGAGATATTCGAAAAATACTGAAAAGTCCATATAAAAATACGATTTTTCATTTTGAAAATCTTCCCACACCGAAAGTTGAAATCGGAAACGCTTTTTGAGCTCGATCGGACCATTTTTTCGAGGGGTCATAATGTGACTGGATTGAAGGGACTATGGAAAAAACGCATAGTAAGAAAAACATATATTGTACACAGGGCTCTGTTTTTTCAGGGCATTTGCGGCTATGATTATATCTCCATGAAAACTGATCGAAAAATTCTGGAAAACATCTCATTTTGAAGGGCACACTGTCTTCTATCATGTAAGAAAAAATTTTGAATATAAGAAAGGAGAGAAAGATTTACGAACCTAAAAAATTGAGATTTTCTAGGCTTCGAAGGAAAACTTCATAATTTTTCCAGGGAAGGTCATGGAGAGCTGTGAGTGGTCTCGTTTGATAGCCCAGACTTTCCTCTACATTAGACTATGTTCAGCTCAAAATGAAAACTTTTCTGCAAAAATGAGGGGGGGGGGGGTTACCCTTAATTCAATCAGTCCATAGTTGATCCGAGGCAACGAAAATCTCTAGATATCGGCACTTCAATTACTCAACTCGTTACGCAAGATGCGAAATCCGTTGGCATCTCATGAGAATAAGTCGAAATTCTGCTTTATATTGTTAATAAAACTGACGAGGGAAGGCCCCCAACTGTCCAGAAGCTTTTGGTCCAAAACTTAGTGGACAATAGGTAATCGAGTGTCCTGATTCCGAATATTACATTGGTTTGGGCCCAATTTTAGTTTAAAGATCCGGTTTTTGAAATACTGGGTTTTGGGGTCGAAAAACCATTTGTAATAAAAAAAATTTTTGATCCGTGAATATGAAAGAGCATATCGCGAAACCCACGTAAAACTGTTTTCAAGGTTTTAGAGGAGGTTTTGAGCGAGTTTTGAAAGAGTAAAACTTAAAACTACACCAAGGAAAACGCGTTTTCGCACTTATGCGTTTTGTGCGATAAAAATACTGTTTTCTAGGTTATCGAACGTGCCAAATTCGAATATTCCATTGTTTTCAGTCCTTAGAAG